GGACATGTAAGATCATGGATTGTGTTTGGGTTGATTTGAAGGTTTATTTGGGGTTGATTTAGGGCTGATTTGGGGCTGATTTTTGGGCTGAATTTGAGCATCAAATAAGTATGCAAATGTACTTATTATTTGGGCTAAGATTGACATTGAAACTTTGAGTGTTTGATGATTGAAATTTGCACACAATACAAGGCAAGTTTGTGCTTGACATAGATCATATGATAATCTTCTCTAGAACTGGAATAGAATTAATTTTTTTGGGGAAAATTTAGAGCACTTAACTATTAAAATTCATTCATATCTTAAAGAACTCACCTCAACTACCATCATCCTTCAAGATATATAAGATAACTCAACTCAATATCAATGATGGTAATATTAGATCGAAAGATATTACAATAAAGTTTAAAAAGATGAAGATTGATTATTGCTTAAAAATGAACAAGTACTTTCATATTAAATAAGACATTGAATTAAATAATCTCTATACCAAAACTAAAGTTTGTGCATAAAAATTCAAGATTATAATATTATCTAAATGATTTCTAAAATTTCCTTGCAATAATAAAACATTTATGAAGAAAATGATAAGATAAACATTAAAATTCATTTATATCTTAAAGAACTCACCTCAACCACCATCATCCTTGATTTGGATCCAAGAAAGAGATTGGCCACCCATGATTATGTATAAGAACACTTTAATAAATATGAAATAACTTGAATCAAACTGAAACAATAGGTTTTACAAATGATTAGTACTTAAAAGTGCATTTTTATCATGGTTTTATATCATCATTTTGCACTTGAAGTATCAATAACTCCTTAACTAAAATATGTTTTATAAGCTTTTTTTTTTTAGAGATGTCTATTAGAGACATATTTATAGAAAATTCTATCACCTTTCCAAATCATTAAAGAACAACTCATTTGGACACCTGAGTCAAAAGTTATAGGCAAAACACCAAAAGATATTTTGAAAAATCAAATCAGGCCAGCTTTGCAACCACTTTAGTGCATGTTTTTCTTCCTCATTTATGAGTTGTCTCTTTTTTCTTTTTGATTCAAAATAATATAATAATATCCCCTCCAGCTTTCCATCCATGTGTTTGCCTTCTTAAATTAATGGATTACCCAAAATAAATTAATTGTTATTTGTTATGTGGACATGTAAGATCATGGATTGTGCTTAGGCTGATTTGAAAGCTGATTTGGGCCTGAATTTAAGCATCATATAATGATACAAATGTACCTATTATTTGGGTTAAAATTGACATTGAAACCTTAAGTGTTTGATGGTTGAAGTTTGCACACAATATAAGGCAAATTTGAACTTGAAATAGATCATATGATAATCTACTCTAGAACTGGAATAGAATTATTTTTTTTGGGGAAAATTTAGAGCACTTATTTAAACCAAGATTTGCTTCAAACTTTAACTAAATTTTTCTTCAATTCTTTGTTCTGAATTCTGACATTAAATTTTTTAACATAATTCGTTTAAGTTTCAAAAACCTACCAAAACATTAAAAGAAACTTCATTACTAAAAAGCATATCCATTATTATAAAAACCTAAATAAAAATAATAAATATATATGTAAAATAAGAGATTTAATGATACTTTTAATTCACAATCAATAACCTAGTAAAAAAAATGTAAAAACTCATAAAGATAAAAATAAAAAAATAAAATAAAAAAGATATCATCATGTGTTAACTTTAAATAAAATAATAAAAAAGATATCATCATGTGTTAACTTTTTAAGCATGTGACTCATTGCATTATACCTGAAACACCTTTTATAGAAAATTATAAAGTTCAATTGCTAACTAATTAGATATTGAAGGATTAATTTAGAAAAATAATATCAATTACATAAAAGGTTTTAAAAAAATTAAAAGAATGAGGGATAAAAATTAAAATACAAAATAAATTTTATTTTTTTATTGAAGGGTGAAATCAAAAAGAATCATTAATTGAACTAAAGGGGAAAAAACATCAAAAGAATGAGAACAAAAATAAAATAAAAAAATTTAATTGAAGAGTGAAATTGAAAAAAAAAATCAATTCATCTAAAGGCCCAAAAAATAAAATCAAAAAATAAAATAAGAACTAAATTGAAGAAAATATATATAGTAAATTAGGATGGAAGGATGAAAGTGAAAACAAATAAAACTTTTATAAGAGGTTCAAGAAAAAAATTCAAAATCAATAGAATAAAAACTAAAATTAAAATACAAATAACAAAGATGGTTAAACTATAATTTTCAAAGAAAATAGATAAAAGAAGGGAAACAAATGTTTATTAGTGATAATCTGGTCCATCATTAGCAATACTTGTCATACTATAAGGAAAAAAACACAATGATGTTTCCAATAACATAATAAAATAAATATTTTTAAATGTTAGGAGGCACTACATTATCTACTCAAAAGGCATAAGTGTCTCTCATGCGCGCTGGAGAGTGTACAATACATGTCATTTTTTTATATATATATATGTAGTCAAATACTAAATTCCTCAAGGCATAAGTGTTTCTCATGCGCGCTAGAGAGTGTACAATACATGTCATTTTTTTTTATATATGTAGTCAAATACTAAATTCCTCCTAAGCTGATTTAATAATAACAAAAAATTATTATGAAAAATTGAAAAGCCTATTGACATCAATTTTAGAATTTTTATTTTTAAGAATATTTTAGTTGCTTCACTATCCTTTATATTTCTTTTATATATATTGGTTAAATACCAAATTGTTCCCTAACTAATATTATAATAATAAAAAACTATTGTGAAAATACAAAAATACCATATCATTGATACAAGTTTTTAATTTTTTGCTTCCAAAAGTTTTTTGATAATTTTATTATGCAATTAAAATGAAAAAAGATTTATTTATCCTTGGTGAGTTTGGTAATGACTAATAGGTACTTAAAAAGACTTTAATGTTCTTGCAAGCTAATGTTAAATTTTTTGAATGAAGGAGTTAAATTCTAGTAAACAGTGTGAATAAGTCGAGGGAAAAAAATATTTTTTAAATGAGGTTTAACTTTTATTGAGGAAGGTGGCCTATTAAACTTTATAAATTGATTTTCTTCTTTAATTATTGTGATTTTAGGATTATGATAACTTCTGATGTTTTATATTTTTTAAAATTATATTTATTTAAAAGAATATTAAATTAATGTACTTTTTAGTATTTTTCAATGATCTTAATATTTTGATGTAAAAAAATAAAAATATTTTTTATATATTTTAAAATAAAAAATATATTTTTTAATTTACATCACAATACCAACCACTCCAGGTATAATGTAATGGAAAAATAATAGTTATATTCACGTGATCAATTTATATAAGAACACTAACTGCAAGCATTTAACCAGCCGAGATGTCTAAGATTTTTTGTGATGTTTTATATTGAAGAAACGAGACAGGGAGAAGGAGAGGGATGGGATGGCCAAAGCAAGATATGATTTAGGCAACCAAACCCTCCATTGCCGTTACATTTTTTATCTTTGGTGGACCCCACTCACCACATAAATACATTACGTACGGACGCTTCTTGCGTCACCGAAAGTGGCCGTTCATTGTATCAGAACATGGAAACATGCATGCATGCACGCTCTCTCTCTCTCTCACATACATATGTTCTCATGTGAAAATGTCTTGTCACGCAAACTAGGGCTTCACCTAATGGTGGAAGAGGCTTATCTCCTTCCACTGTACCTGGATTCAAGCCCTAACGTGCACGCCTGTCACCCTCGCGGTACCTTACATGTCTACTGGGTTTGCAGGATATTCAGTGGGCCGTGGGGATTAATCGTGGTGCGCGCAAGCTGGCCCAGACACCCCACATAAATCAAAAAAAAAAAATGTCTTGTCACGACACATAACATTAGCGTCACCAAAACCCCAACTCACTATTACCAACCTGCCTTGCGATTTAATATATTGTTTGAAAGCGTGATAATAAAGTTTTTTTTTTAATATATTAAAATAATATTTTTTATTTAAAAAAATTATTTTTATTATAACATATGAAAATAATAAAAAATACCAAAAAATTATTATTTTAAATAAAAAATTTCAAAAACACTTAGAAAATACAAAAATAAACACACTGTCAATCATTCTTTCTCCCCATGAGTTTGGTTAACTTCTTCCTCGTCACAGACTCAGTTCATGGGATTGCACGCCATCTTATTTCTTCCGTTTTTTTTTTTTTTTCATACAACCGTTGTTTTTGGATTGGATCTCTCATCGAATAAAAAATTATAATTGTAGTTATTTTTTTAAATAATTTTTATTTAAAAATATATTAAAATAATATTTTTTTATTTTTTAAAAAATTAATTTTTATAATAATAAATTAAAATAATTTAAAAATATTAATTTAAAATAAAAAATTTAAACAATTTAATTTTTTTAAAATATTTGTAAAACATGAAAATACCGGGTTAATATATATTTTTTAAATTATTTTATAATAATTTATTGTCATAGTATAGGGTAGCACGTTGCAGCTATAAGGTTGCTGGCAGTGACTATGCCATCATTATTTTTAGATAATTGATATGCTGTCGGTTTAGCATTTTTTCCTCGAAAAAAAAAAATACAAAGCGCTAAATAAAAGAATAAAACAAAGCCAGCCACACGGGCCTGTTACAGCTGGCCCAGGCGATACATTTGACCCTTCTCTATCAATTTTCTTTTACAGTCCCAGGATTTTTTATTAAATTTATTTATTTTCTAATTTTAATATGGTTATTAAATATTATTATAATTTTTTTTATATAATATTATAATTTTTTATTTGAATTTTGATAATTTCTTTTTAATTATTATATTTATGATTTTTTAAATTTTAATTATATATATAAAAAAACATAAATGTATTATTTTAATATTTACTAAGATAAATAAAAAAATATTTAATTTCACGTTTAATAATAATGGGAAAGAGTTTTCTAAAATCTAGTTTTGTTTTTTGTTTTTACATTTAAAAAATAAAAATCTCTCCGCAGCACAGCACGGGCATACAGGCTGGTTTTCTCAAATCAAGTGAGTTTCAGCTCTTCCTCTCCATGCAAATGTCACTTGGAGACCTACTGCTGCAGGATGCAGCTGGGTCCGCTATCAGATTCTAAATTCTGTAATCGACAATAGTAATGAAGTACTGAATCTATTGGGTCATTACTCTTTCGTACCCCCAAAGGAGAAGGAAGCTTTATATGAATTTCTTCATTAGGACAATCATCATATCATCACTTGCAAAGATTTCTATTCATTTATTTTACTCCATGCTACTTTTCACAAGCCTCGAAGGATTTTGCAGGTCTCTCTCTCTCTCTCTCTCTCTCTTGAATGGGGGTTTGATCTTCCTACTTTTCTATATTGTTTTTGTTTGGATACCAAATGGTTACTAATTTGAAGGCATTTTTTTGTGGGTTTATAGAAAAAGTTCGGGTCTTCCAATTATTATTGTTACTTGTCTGATTCATCAATAGTTGATTGGATGTATTGAGCAACAATTCATTTATGAACGAGAGCTTCTGATGAATGCTGGACTATGAGTAGGGATTATTGATTTGTACTTACACTTTAGGGAGAATGTGGAGTAGTGCCTTATTCCAGTTTTGTTAGTCGTGAAAAACACTAATTGGAACTCTGCATTGATGTTTCCTAGCAATTCAGGAAGGTTCTTCCTCAATTGTTATTAATGGGGTTAGAGATTCATGCAGGTGGTTTTAGCCATACTAGAGTTTAGAGTTCAGACTGTTGGAAATTTTGTTCTTATGGCGACCTTTCTTCAAATGTGAAAACAAGGGATCTGAATATGAGAAGAGATTGGTTTTCTCCACATGCTATTGCTGCGGGTGACACTCTATCTATTCAATAAATTTTAACTTTCAATTGAAAAGGGAGTTTTTTCTTCTTCAAAATGTGCTTCTATAATGAATTATGATATGATGGCAAGATAAGTGAAACTAGGAGAGGGAGCCATAGAAAATTATGGTTATTGGTCTCCACGCTAACTGGGATGACTTACCAATAATATAGCTGAAATTAGACGCTAAAATATCTTGTAGCAGGCCCAACTATCTATGATGAGCTTTACTCTTTGATTACTGCAATGATTAATTTTGTCTGTTTCATTTTTATTTATTTTTTTAAAGGTAATGGTTAAAGATTGTACAGGCTTTCCTGCTTTGTTGACCGCTAGACATAAGGCTTCATAGTTTATGTTGGTGTTCTAAAACCTTTTCAATAGTGATTAACACATAAAGAGGATTGCTGAACTAGGAGTTGACTCAGCCTAATATGAAATGCTGGTTGGTATGGTTAGATGCAGTGTAGTTTATGATTACTAGTTATTGTTGGACTAGAATATTAGCCACGTTAAGACACTGGTCCTTTTCCTTTCAGCTTTTGAAAAAGAGAATGCAGAGACAAGCTTCACTCATGGACATGGTGTTGACTAGTTGATGCTTTCATTTCAGTGAACTTGTTTCTTCTTTTAATATTTTCCTTGATAGTTAGTTTGTCGTTTCCAATGGTTGCAAAAACTTCAGCTATTAGTAAATTGCAAAAAATTTATGATGCAAACCTTTATTCTTAATTTCCCCATCTGCATATTGGTTCCCATTGTCAGTCATTACAGGTTGAGAAATTCAGAACTATTTTACTAGAAGGGGAGTTGCTGGGGTTCAAACTGCAGAACTTCCAAGAGGATTGGCTGGTTACCAACTTAATTTCCTCAAACTTTAAGATACTAGTAATTGTCAACAATATATAACAAGAACATGCAACCAGTTGGGCTAGAACTATAATTGAATTATTGGTTGTTACCTAGTTGTGGAGTCTTACGCGGTGATCATAAGATGAAGCAAACAGTAAAATGTCAGACTTCACTTGTGCAATTATATGTCCACAGTAATGTGATATATCTTAATGCCATGTACAGAAAATTTTATATCTCATTATAAATGTCCAGAAAAAATGTTTAACTAAAGGCTCGTGAGCTTAATAGTTGCCCTTTTTTCGTGACTTGGGAGGAAGCTTGAACTCTGGACTCCCCAGGAACTTTAAATGTTCCCTGCTGGTTGAAATGTTTCCCTATGAATAAAGCCCTTTTGTTCATATAGATACATCAAGTAGCCACTAGCATGCTATACTTTGCTGTTTCTTTAGAATCCTGCAAAATCTACTACTGAGGGTAGGGGGTGATGTCCTGGTTGTATAGCCTAAGCACTTGGGCAATTTGCCATATGCGTCCATGATTCATATTTATATAACAGTCTCTGCACTTGCTTGTGACTGCACTTTCCGAGAGGAATGGAATGGATTGCAGTAGAGTTCATAAAATGATTTGATTGTACTTTCTGTTTTGGAAATTCTCTGTTGCTTTGTTCTGTTTCTTTCTTTCTTTACTTTGGAGAATTCACAGTTGTTTTTTCAAAGGTCATTAGGAGCCTTCATTTTGTGTTTGTTCTTATAGAATTCTTGGCAGGACTTTGGCATGTTTTTCTGAAGAGACCGTCTTGTTGGTGATATATGATATCTGCTTGATTGTACTGTAACAGGTTCAATATCTGAGGGTGTAATTTGACACATCAATGTTTCATCATAGAAAGTGCACCAAGCTATATGTGACGTGGACAATTTTCTGCAATGGATTCAAAAGGAGCTTACGATGTTGAGCATATGAGTTCCACACCAAGAATTCAGCATGAACTGTGGCCTCTTGATGGAATTGATCCAAAGAAAGCTAAGTTTCCATGTTGTCTCATCTGGACTCCACTCCCAGTTGTCTCATGGTTGGCACCTTTTATCGGACATGTTGGCATTTGCAGAGAGGATGGAACTATTATAGATTTTTCAGGATCCAATTTTGTGAATGTTGATGATTTTTCTTTTGGTGCTGCTGCTAGATATTTTCAACTTGATAGAGAACAGGTATTTAGTTCATGAATACTCTCTTTAGTATCTCCATCTCCGTCCAATGCACCCATGCATACCCATGCACACAGACACAATTACAATGACTGTTGTCACCATTTGTTGAGAAAGTAGGTTAATGGCAATATAGGACTCAAAATCCATGCTCATAGATTGCATTATAACCTAAAAGGTGTCAGGTCAGGTTGACTGAATAAAGCGATTTCTCTGGTTAGCCACATCTTGATGTTGGGATGCACCCAACTTGTTTTTCAAAATAACTGGTTGCAATTATGAATTTATCAAGTACTTTTGCTATTGTCTTTTTCTTTTCTTTTCTTTTCTTTTCTTTTCTATCCCGCATTACTTTATGAAAGAGGTGCTACCAGTTGATCCACTAACAATTTTTTTCTGCGATATGATTTGTAAAATTAGTGTTGCTTTCCGCCAAACCTAACTGGACACGCATGCAAGCATGGCTACAAGCACTCAGAACATGGGGCTGCGATCACATGGGATGATGCTCTACAGTCAAGCATGCGTCACTTTGATCACAAAACATACAATCTTTTCACATGCAACTGTCATTCATTTGTTGCCAACTGTCTGAATCGGTTGTGTTATGGTGGATCAATGGATTGGAACATGATAGATGTGGCAGTTCTAATACTCTTCAAGGGGCATTGGATAGATTGGAAATCCATCGTCAGATCCTTCCTTCCTTTCGCAGTTGTGCTTTGCATAGGTGTATTCTTGGTTGGCTGGCCCTTCTTAGTTGGCCTGTTCTCATTCTCTCTCCTCCTTATGGGGTGGTTTTTGTTGGGCACGTATTGTTTCAAAAGCCTGTTAGAATGCTAAAACTTCTGCAATCTATGCTGATGGCGTTGATTTGGGTATGAAGTTGAATCAGTATATTGTTTGTAAGAGTTTATAACGCCAAATACAGTCACAACACCATGGAAGTCGTGTTGATGCCAGGAGAAATCTCTGCCCCATCATCGTGAAAAAATGAACTCATTGTAGGGTTGTTTTGGAAATGAAATGAATGTTCATTGATTGAGAGCATTACTGAAATATTTATTATGCTGTTTGTCTCGTACCTGGGGACTAGAAATCAAGAGAGAAGATCAAAACCTCATTGCTAGGGATTTAAGTTAATTGCACGATAAGATTCATCCAAACGTAGCATTTCAAACTTGCGATTGCATGACCCTTGATGTTGGGTTCCCAGTTCCTGGAACATGATGATTTCAGCCAGCATTTTTGCCTCCTCTCGAGAAGATTTAACTACCAAAAACAAGAACTGATTTTTATTTAAGGCAAGCACGTACTTCAGTTGCTTCACGGAACATGCTTCAACTTATGCAACCTCGTAGAAACTCGATTCCCCAAAGGTTCATTGCATTCATCCAAATAAAAGGTTCCTTGTTACGCTGCTCCAACACTTGCACATTACAGAAGAATATCTTGCACTTAAATGCTACCTCATGCAGGAATCTATCAGCTGGTATTACAAGATTTCCGCCATGCTGAGAAGAAAAGAAAAATGCTCGACAGAAATGCACACAAGCATTTAAATATACTTAAACGTCTGATCTAAATGGTTAATCCATACCCAATCAAGAGGAATGTCACGTCTTTGATGCCAATAAATCATGAAGCAACTGTGTACAGTAATTCACAAGCCTAAACAGTATATCATGTACAAAGAACACTTCCGTACAGTTCCAGTGGCAGACTTCCAACATCACATCTGATTTTAATGACAAATTAACTCCCCTTACACTCCATTATCTGTAAATTAATCAGATGTAACTCTGCAAATATAAACCTGGCAATCTAAATCTTACCTCTTTAAGATCTTTAAAAGAAAAGGTCTCTGCCGTATCCAAACGGATTACTTACAGCATACTGCCATTGAGCAATTAACAATGGGCAATCGTGCGTGTCGATCAGAAGCTAGCAGGATCCCTAAGAAATGTGAAAATATTATAGGAAGCTTACCGTTCTTCTTTCTAGATGTTACCTGACATCATTTCGTGTTTTTTTCTCCTTTCATAGTGTAACTTTGACGAGGAAAGAGTTTTGAAAGAGCAGTATCCATCTCATCTTTAAAAATCAAAACCCACAACCTTAAGGATAATAAATTAAAAAAAAAAAATTCTTTTCTAAAAATGGAGCGTGTCAAAAACATGTTTTCAAGAATTTGTTCGGAACGCTTTTGTGATCGCTTTGGTAAAAAGTATTTTTTTTTAAATCATTTTTTTTAGATTTTTTTAAGTAAATATGTATTTGGTTGCTATTATGATTAAAATTAAAGTTATAAAAAAATACTTGATATGTGTTTAGTTAAGTTGTTTTTACAAGTTTTTCTATTGGTAAATTTATCTAAAAAGACATGTGTGAATTTTGTGAAGTTGTGAGTAGAATTTATTAGGAAATTCTTTTAATACATAAAAAAATATGATTGTTATATTATTATTGTCCTTTGTTCATCCTATTAAACTATCCACGATGTCATTACAAACATAATTAACATAATTCATTTGAGAAGGCTTATGGTTCCCTTGACTTTGAGAACATGATACAACATCAACTAAAAAATCATCAGGAATAAAATGAGGATTGTGATCATATTATATAAATGCAATATCTTCTTGTGACTTCCTTCTTATGTAGGTACCCAGTGCCGTTGATATCAATATAATTTACACTTGTGCTTTATATGGATATGCCAGCATGTTTTGTAAAATTCTCCATCGTTGTTTCCATCTCCCAAATGCACGTTCAATGACGTTGCAGAGTGATAAATGTGCACGATTGAATTGCTTTTCCTAGCTTGTTGGTTGTCCTCGATATCGAAACTCTTAGAAGTGATGCCTTTCACCTTTATATAGACCGAGATATCCATACTCATTTTGGTACCCAGCATCAACCAAATAATATTTACCTGAAACAACGATAGAAAAAATTATATCAAATGGAATAAAGAAATATAGAATAAACTTATTTAAAATATAAATATGTTCGAATCTAATTATTGTTCCATATGTACCTTTAGGAGGTTTTGGAATTTTATATGTGGATTGTCAATAGCATCTAAAAAAATACAAGTATCATGAGCACTTCCTTCCCATCTTGCCCAAACAAAAATGAATTACATATCAAAACTACATGTTGTCATTATATTCTCTGTCGGCACACCTTTTCTACCGATAAATGGTACTTGATTTTCATGAGAAACAGAAGTATGCACATGTGTCTCGTTGATCACTCCAATGCGATTTTACAAAACAAAACAAAACAATAACCATCATTTCATAATTAAAGATTAATAATATAATAGTAATGTTAATCTATATAATTACTATAAAGACTGTCTGTCTGACCTTAAAATAAGGCATAAATCTAGAATTCATCGTAATTTCTCGTAGAGTGTTTAAAAATGATGAGTTCTCGGGTTTGATTATATTTACCGCAAGTAAATAAATTGTCTTCAACATTTCATTAAAATAGCAACTCACGGTTTCACCTGAGTGTTAAAATTTTTCCTGGACTTGCCTATTTGTTACACCTAATGCAATGGTGTACAAAAACATTGTCACCTTCTCAATAACGCTCGTCCTTCTTGATGGGTTTAAGTCATATTGTATTTCCAAGTCATAATAAAGGTTTTGTAACGTCATTGCAGCCATCCTAAACATGTTAACACACCGTTTCCAGTGTCCTCCAACGACTTCAACCAACCATCTCATCTCTGTGTTCTATGAAGCCATGCACGGTTTCTTATGCACATAAGTAATATAATACATATGTAAAGCACCAACAGTACATAACAATAGTTTTTTTATAATCAAACTCTCATTGCCAAAATGATTCATCCTCATCGTCAGTATAATCTAAATCCTTAATCACTATCATCATCATCATTAGTTCCGCTTGAATCATCCTCATCATCGCCACCATCATTCACCCCTTCATTACCATAACCATTTTCATTACTAGCAGTTCCACCACCACCACCAGTACTACTACAATTAATATGATCAATTACATAATTCATCACGGTATCATAATTGTCATCATAATTAACACCAAGCATAGCATTAACCCATTCATCTATAATTTCTACCTGTAGAAATTCAATTGCAAATATTTATGTTCATATCAAGTCATATTAAAAAAAAATCCATCACTTTTTATATTTAAATTGACAACATTATTTATCACTTTGAAAAATATAGGAAAAAATAATATCACGTATAAAAATAATATCATGTTATAGATTAGTAATATGACTTTTATCCATAACTTATATAAATAAAAAAAACATCAGTAACAGTGTGTTATGCTGCATAACATTCAAATTCATACATGGAACAATCAAGCTTGAAAATAATATTTTGAGGATAAACTATAGTAAATAATTACATACAAACCACATCACTTTTTGGTTTTGTATTGAAAGATCAATAAAATTTGTTGATATTAAATCATCAATAAATCAACCTTTAATGCAAAAAAAATGAGATTGAACACAAAGAACTTACAACTAAAGCTTCTGTTGTAGGAACTCCTAAGACCAAAAGTATAATTACTGTAGTGTATTAAACGGAGTAGAAGAATATTTGTAAATGTGAAGTAATAACATGTATTATATATAGAAAGCAATGTATCTCATTGTCAAAACTTTTACAATTTTAAACAATACACATACTCAGCAACAATGAAAAATATGCTTGACTGCAGTGCTGAAAAGCTTTTACAAATTAAAAATCTTATTGCTTTTCCTTTTCAGGTGCATATGCTCATGCACTATTTCAATAATGCAGTCTTACATACACATACAGCTAAGAACCTGCAACCTCACATTTTATGATTGTAAAGTAAAAAAATAGTTGTAAATAACATGCGGCCTTACATCATAATTGTAAAGAAAACAATGGCTGGTATATAACAATAGCTCTTTTTTAATTGATGTGAGACTTGATTCCTTAACTACCTATTTCCAAAGCCCCACCTGCTATAGGTCCCTCTATCTGTACATGTTTCTATTCCTCTGTTTTCTTTACTCATCCAACATATTCTGATGGTTCCAGCATACTAACACATCAGTACTAGCATATAACAATAACAATATACCTTAGAACAGTACTACCAGCATAAGCAAGCATAAACAATTCACCATCACACAGCATTAGCAATATAGCAATAATCATTCACAAACAACATCATAATATAACACCAGTACCAGCATAGCCATAAGCATTTACATATGACATATAACCACACATTGTTCCAGCATAAGTCTTAACATTCATTATAAGTATTCCTTAATATAACAACATATTATCCCTTAATATAATATAAAACAACACAACAACTTAAAAATAATCCATGAAATGTAAAAAAGATTAGGTTAGTAATCCGTAAACATAATTTAAACTGCTGGTTCTCTATAAAATCAACACCACTCTTCATGCTTCAATCCAGCAGCCTTAAGCATCATTGTCCCAATATTGGACACATGTACATGATTTGGCAGAAAAATAAATTCTCATATTCATCTAGTTGTTAAAGCAATTGAAAATAGAAACTACGATACATTAGTAAAGTAATCTAACCATAATTTAGTGTTTTTGACTTCTCTGGTATATTTTTTGAAGCCATTGATACTTTCTATCAATATCTCCATTTGAGGTCTACATCTCTCTTTTCGTCCTCCTATACAAGTACTTAGTTGCAAAACAGTACAAGTCATCACCGAAAGTAATTTTGGGTATGGAATGGACCTCTACCATTACCTCACTTATATTACACCCTATCTTATCCCTACTATCATTTCTACTGGAAACATGATCAAGTAGTTCATCCCGACATGATATCAAGCAAGCACCTACTCAGGAAGGTTTTTTTCTTTTTCTTTCTACTTTGCACACCATATTGTTCTCTTGCATTTCTTTTTCCACTGCTATTTATGGTATTATTATTTCCCATATTCACGCTAGCAACTAAATTGCAAACATCGTTAGTAAAATTAGGGATAACATCATTC